TCTCCTTTATCGCTTTGCCACATAGCCACGCACTGTTCAACATAGTCATTTAGTGCTTCCTGGTAGGAGGAATTTCTTATGAACTAGTTTAATCTATTAAACTCCTTATCATAACCCTCAAATGGCCTTTCTAGGTGGAGTGACCATGTAATTTATTGTCCAAACTGGAGGCATAGATATTAATCAAGACTGACCGGGGCAAGCCAGCATGATCACCCTACTTCTAAGGAGTCTCTGCTGTGAGTGAACATTATCTTGGAAGCCACATACAATTAAGGCTCCCTTCCCACTGGTTAATTGTATATGAAGTGACAGGAGACAATTAAAAGCAACACATTCTCCAAGGGGCAAAGTAACATAGACTCAAATAAATAGCTCAAGGCTGAAGCTCTGCACAATCGACAACTGATGGGCCTTGGCCCTTAAGAGGTGTCCTCTTAAAAACATTTACTTCAAGATGTAACTTAAATAGCTTTCATCACATTAGAACAAAGAATGGATTTAAAATAAAAGCCTTCCAATATTTGCCCATACACAGAGAAAAGATCATGGTCAACCCTTAGAAGAGGTTTTTGGCTTCAATGAGGGTTTGTAATTGATGTATCTGCCTTTTTCTTCCTTGGTCTCTTTGGAAAGTTATACAGCTCCTATCAATTTGACTCATTTTACGTTTTCATCTCATGAACCATGATATTGACCATGTTCAGAGACAGCTGGGGTTTTCCTTACACACATGAGAAATTATATTGACAACCTATTTGCCAGAATACAACTTAGCTCAGCTTCCATTATGCTGGGTATCAAAGAGAAGAGGAATTAGCAATCTTCAAGAGGCTCTTTTACTCTGCAGGAACACCTACTCCTGACAGGCAGAGCATGTACATCTGTCCAGCAACTGGTGTCCTCAGGTTACTAGGTCTGGGTGGTTCTCTACTCCAGAAGTTATTTATTATAGGAGTTTCCTCCAGCCAAATCCATCAGGCCAACTGATTAGAGACCACTGGGAAAGGGAAATATCTCAGTCTATTTTCTGCTGCTGTAGCAGGACATCTGAGGCTGAACACAGTAAAAAGAAAGCTCTCAGGTTTGGAGGCTAAATGTCAAATGTTATCTGACCCTTTCTCTTCAGCCTCTGGCTAGGAATTTGTGGTGGTGGTATCACAGTGGTGGGAGGTCATATGGAAAATATCACACGACAAGACAGGAAAGCAGAGAGATTCAGTGGCCACACTACTGATAACAAGCCACTCCATATAAAGCTAACCCATGTCCTATGAGCACTGCACTAACCCCTTCCAGGACTCATGCCCCTGTTCCAAGTGCTTCTCCACTTCTCACATGGCCATACCTGGGACCAGGCTCCCAGCCCATGAAGCTTTGAGGATCTATTCAACCACATCTAAATAGTATCAGCGAGTTTCTTCTTTTATGTTGTACTTGAACCTGGAATCATCTAGTCCAGCAATAGCTATGCAGTCCTCTTGTCATCCAAGACACAGAGGAAAGAAGAGAGAAGGAGAGCACAAAGAAAATGAGAAGATTAGGTCCTGAAGTCATTTTTTATCCTTAAGCAAGATATCACACATACCTGTTAATAACTCAAACCCACACATAATGTCTTAGTTTGCTTTCTGCTGCTGTGATGAAACACTGGCCAAAACCAACTCAGGGGAGGAAAGGGTTTGTTTCTTCTTATAGGTTACAGACCATCATTGAGGGAAGCCAAGGCAGAAACTTAGGGCAGGAGTTTCAATCAGGAACCACAGAGGAACCCTGCTTACTGGCTTGCTTCCCCTGACCTGCTCAGGCCCACGTGTCCGGCACCACCCACAGTGGGCTGTACAGTCCTACATCAATCTGCAAGCAAGAAAATGCCTCACAGGCGTACCCATAGGTCAATCTAATGGAGCGAGTTCTTCAACTGAGAGTCCCTTTTCCCAGGTATGTCTAGATTTTATCAAGTAAACAAAAGACACATAAGAAAAGACACACAAGAAAAGACATAGTGTTTTGTGATACACACACACACACACACACATACACACACACAAAGTCCATTTAAAACAATGCTAGCCACTTATCAGTACAGTACTAACAGATACGAATACTCTGTAATAGTGCTTTTCAAACTTTCTGACAGTAACTCAAACTAGAACGAGATGTTATAATGCAGTCCAAAATGCACATACCACCTCACCTATAATGCTTACGTGACGTTTCATGAAACTGCAGAACTCTTGCTAGCTTATGATGACACCAGCATCTCATCTTGTCATAGACTCTTTCAACATTGGTTGTGACCACTAAATGGGTTTTATGACCTTCATTTGAAAAACACTATCCTGTGAGATTAGGTTTTGAAATTGATTTCACCAGGAAGAATGAGATTTTTTTAAAATGACATTAAATTTCAGGAAAGTAGGCTGTTGAGGAAAATTAATTTGGCCCCTAAATTGCTAAGATGAATTTTTATCAAGCATCTAGCAACAGAAAATTGCTATCTTAGCACTTTTTTTCTGATGGCCCAGGACCCACAGTAATCAGAAGAGGAGGAAAAAAATATCTCTAAAGATTTAGAAATGAATTAATTACAAAAAGATAATCTAGCTTCTAAAACAAAACAAAAACGATAGAAGGAAGGAGGGAGGGAGGGGGTTGAAGGGAGAGAAGGGAAGGAGGGAGGGAGGGAGGGAGGGAGGGAAAGAGATGGTTTGTAATTTAAGCCCCAAGCCTTTACTTACATGTGCAAAGACAACTGTAGAATTCTAGAAAATCACTGCAGACAGAATAAGACAGCCCAGGTATTTTTTAACTGCCCTCCACGTAGCCTCTTTGTATTGTCAGTTAGCCAAAGCTTCCTTTCTGTCTACTCAAAGGCACTGCCGAGCCTTAATTAAATCTGTGGCATCAAGTAGAGAGCTGGGAGTCTCTAGCTTGCTAGAAACAGGCTTGGAATTGTAAATATTAGTGAGACCCCTTCAGCCCTTTCCACACGCTGGACTGGCTATGAAGTTAACTCCTCCCACACTTTTCTAGACTCTTAGGCTTAAGTGTAATTGTTTGCCTGCTGCTAGCCATTAACTTTTCTGCAGCTAAGATGGAAACCTAGGAATTTGAAGACAGAATGAAGTTTAAGACAAAACCTTGCATGTCCAGGAGAATGATTAATGAAACCTTTGCCAACAGTCATTAAAACCAAATCTCATTGTAAAAGTGTTTTAGGGAGATTCCTTCATTTCCCGTCATTGTCCTGTTCAGATACTTTCGACCTTCATTATTGAATCTAAGCAAACAAAATGTTTGATTAGTACATGTAAAATGGTCCAAAGAAATGACAAACCCATCTTATTCAAGAAGTCCCAAGTCTTTCTTGACCTCCTCTAACAAATATATGCACTGCTCCAAGACATGTGTATATGTGTCTGTTATTGCTTACTAGAGAATTGCCTGCTCTTTTGTGACTGAACTTGGGTACCAAAATATATAGAATTCTTGATGTATCAGTCAATCTTGAATATCATCTCATTTAAATTCATTGAAAAAAAACCCGATATGGTTATCACTCTTGCATTATTATTACTTTCCAATCATTAACAGTGCATCCCTGATGCCTTCTAGTGACCTTGGTCTGTTAATCGTCTGACATATGAAATTAGATGAATTCCTATTGAGATTTGCGGCAAGTTCCTTGGCCTCCCTCTATGACTTGGATTCCACCTCATGGACTATTCATGAGGACTGCAGAGTGCCTTCAGGGATGCCTGACTTAGCTCTCTTTCTGGGTTCTTTTCAGCACGTGTATATGACAGATCAAAGGGCAGGCTGAAAAGGTTAAGTAAGGTGAAGCCGCTTCTCTTTCCCCTCCAGACACTGGATTAGGAAGCTTCACAGTTGCACTCCCTTTGGGACAGGAAATGGCATGTCGGGGGTTGCCTATAATTTTGAACACATCCTCCGAATTGGCTGGTACGTTTCTGGGGCAAGCACAAGCTAACCCCAAAGGATCTCGCAGCTTTCCAGAGAGACTGCTGCTGTCAGCACCGAGGAGTCTTCCCCAAGGGGCCACCTTGCAGACGCGGCTGTCTGGGTACCAGCAAACATCAAGTCTGCCCGCAAAGTTCAGAGGAGTTGGCTCTGGTATGTTTACAAGTTCTAGCAGATCTCAGGAATGTTCAGGATAATTATTACCGCACCCAGAAGCGCCCAGCCCAACCCTCTCACATCTGGAAGGAAGCGGCCATACAAAGGAGAGAGAGAGAGAGAGAGATCCTGTCGTTGAATTTTCAGACCCAAGTTCTGCCCTTTTGTGAACAAGACCAAGCTCTGTCCAGGAGAGCAGGTCATTCGATGCGATGCAAAGGAAGACTTTAGGCTCTAGTCCAAACGAAATAGCACCTCTCAAGAGAGACGGTCATTATCCTTTCTCCAGATGAAAATGAAAAGTGAAATACTCCAGAAAATTGCCCCGGGAGTGGCTCACACGCACACAGCCTCTTCCACTCAGGCGCATCTAGGATGCTCCACGCCTATTTACAAAGGGCAGCCAAGCCAAACCCTGGGTGTCCTCGGCTAACGAAGGAACCACTCTGCTCCTTTCACCAGCTTCGGGGGTTATCTCTAGGCTGCCGGATCTGGGGATTCGTCGGTTCTTTGACCACCTCCCAAGAAAGCAAAAAGCACATGGTCCCAGGCGGCGCTTTTGCAAACCCCATTACCGCTAAACCTTACAACCGGCCAAACTTCCTGTCTCCCCACCGCCAGAGCCACCAAAGCCCGGTGCCAATTGCCCTAGGGACTCCAGCCAAGGCTGCACCAGCTCTGGAGCCTCGGGGCGGGGCTTCCTGGTGGTGGAGAGAGCAGGGACGTTTGCTGTGGGTACCCCAGAACGCGCGTTGCGCCCCGGGGTGCAGCCGGTGCTCGCGCAGTGACCTCGTGGTGCCACATTCCCTCCTTCTCCCGGGCAGCGCGCCCCGGGGTCCTGGAGACAGACATCCACCTACCTGCTCTGCTGCTTCCTCCCTTGGGCGCGCGGGGCTGTCGCCAGCTACTTTATTGTCTGCGCTGCGCACTTCGCGGGACCCGGGGACACCGCTCTGCTCCAGTCCCGCAACTCCTTCCCGCGCAGAGCCTTCCTCAGTCGCGGCTGCCTTCCTCTCGATCCTCCTCCTCTCCACCCAGGCTCCGGCTCAGCACCGCAGCCACGGAGCCCAACTCCTCCGCCGCAAGATGGACAGCCAGCGTCCGCAGCATCCCCCGGCCCGGGGCTACGATCACCTTCCGCGCGTCGTAGCCAGGATCCAGTCACTCCACCGCAGGGCCCCGGGCCACCTTCCAAGCGTCCCCGCGTCCCTCGGTCCTGCCTCTCCTCGCTGTCAGTCTTGGCTCCCGGCTGCTCTCTCCCCGCTGCTCCCGCCCGTCGCCTCTCCGGGGGCCGGGGCGGCCCTGCCAATGAGACACCGCAGATGCGCTGTTCCGGCCCAGTCATTGTATCGGGAGGAGGAGGAGGGAGCCGAGCAGGGAGGGGGCGCCCGGCCCTGGAGGCTGCGGCCCGCCTCGCCTTAGGCGCGCACACGCAGGCGGGCGGGCACAGAGTGAATGCTGGTTCTGGGGTCCAGGGAGGGGGGGACCCCAGCCCTCCCACCTCTGCATCTCCCTTACTGCGAGAAGCTGCGGGAGGGATTCGTTTGAGCGTCCCCGGCTTAGGCATCCCAGGACCTTAGAATAAAGGGAAACCCCCAGGAACTGGAGTGGGACTGGAGAAAAGACTTGATCTACCCCTACTACTCCTACAATCTGATGGTTTTGCGTGAAAGAAGAAAGGAGAAGAGAAGGGAGAGAGGGGACGGAAGATGAGAAAGGGGAGAAGGGAGAAAGGAGAGGGGAGAGGCTGAGAGAGAGAGAGAGAGAGAGAGAGAGAGAGAGAGAGAGAGAGAGAGGCTATCCCACCATTTTCACTGATTCAAGAGTGTTGCATTGTGATGTTTGTTGCTTTTGTTTTGGACACTCGGAGAGGTCTCTACAAAGCCACTAACAGAGACAGGGCAGAGATCACAGCTTTATCTGGCGCTGCATAAACCAATGCCTGCGGGAGGAGGGGAGGAGGACCTTTGTGGAAGACTCTTACTAAGGCTTTTTTTTTTTTTTTTTCTATTAGATCCAACTGAGTGCCAAGTAGACCCTCCAAGGCAGGGCTGGGCGGACCGCAAGTCCCTAAACTCCTTCAAGGTGTGTCTGGGTTCTCAGACCTCACTTTACATCCTCCGGAGTTCATTCATTTTTCCAAGTAAATTCAGTCCGATTATCTTGCAACTACCAGCTTATCAACTACACAATCATATCGCTTTGGATTTTGTTGAACAATTTTTTTTTTTTTTTGAGTCAGGGTCTCCCTGTAGCCCCAGCTGGCCTGGAACTCTCTGTGTAGACCAAGCTGGCCTTGAACTCACAGAGATCTACCCGTCTCTGCCTCCAGAGTGCTGGGATCAAAGGTGAACTCCTTCCTCTTCTCTCTCCCCTTCTTTCCTCTTCTCCCCTTTGTTTCTCCATCTCTCCCCACCTCTTTTTTCCTTTCCCTTCTTACAAGGCCCCATGATTTCCTTGGCTTGCAAGCCACTGCAGTTTTAAGAGCAAGCAGGTAGGGAGCAAGATCTGAGGTGACAGGCACTTGAGGTGGCTTGATGTCTGATGTTTTGCATGTAGTATAAGGGTTAATTAAATTTTCTTCTGGTGCCGAATGGACTGTTTGCTTTCAATTAAATATAAAATATTAAATGAGCAACTAACATTTATTGAGTGGTAATTACATGCCCTTCCAGCCCTGAGCTATGCAAGTTACATGCCCTTCCAGCCCTGAGCTATGCAAGCCCATCCCTGGGCAGCCCTATCCTGGGAGAAAAGGAAGACCCCTGCAGCTTGGTCTACACCTGACTCTTTCCGCTTCTAACACATAGCAAGGGCTCATTCAGTGCCAGTTGAGTTTATGGACCTCTGTTCTACTGAGGAGGAACACGAGGCTCAGAGGCCAGCTGAACAGCCTGAGAACAGAAGATTGGAAAGAGGTGGTACTTATCTATAAACTCAGTTCTGAAAACTTGCAAACCACTTCACAAAATTCCTATTCAGTGTGTGTACCAGTGTTGGACCAAAGGACCAACTTTGGTCAAGTGCACACAGTAATGGCTTGGCCAGCCCTTGCTAATACACACAATTCCATTGGAGAGAAAACTGGTGCACATAGCAGTCAATAGAGAACAGTACATTCTGTGGAAGGATGCAGGTGAAGCACAAGGCTGAATCATATAAAAAGCGTTTAATATATTTGGGGTGAGGGAACATGACTGGAGATTTACCTAAGTTGGATATAGTGCGATGACCTGGGTTAGATCCCCACACCACATAAAACCAGATATGGTGGTAGAGGCCTATAATCCTAGCACTTAGGAGGTGGAAGAAGAATTAGAAGTTCAAAGTCATTCTCTGCTACTTAATGAATTTGAGACTAGCCTGGGATACCTAAGACTTTGCCTAAAAAAACAAAAAAATAAACTAAAAAAAAAAAAAACCCAAGAACAAAACAAAACAAAGTATAAACCCCTATATAACCAGATGCAGACTATGGCAGGAAAAACATGAGAGGTAAGTTTCATCTGGGTTAGTCAGAATAGTCTAGGGGCTGGAGAGATGGCTCAGCAGTTAAGAACACTTGCTGATCTTGCAGAGGACCTAGGGTTCAGTTCCCAGAAACCACATGGCAGCTAACAAGGGTCTAAAACTCCAGTTCCAAGGGATATGGTGTTCTCTTCTGGCCTCCATGGGCACTTCGTGGAATGGAGCACTTACATACAGGGGGGCAAAACAGTCATATACATACATACATACATACATACATACATACATACATAAATGAAAAGCATAGAAGAATTTGCTTAAAATGTGGAGTATTGGCTGAAGCACAGAGAGCTCTGACTTAAAAATAAGAGTTTGAGACCGTTCTACATGAATACAAAGTCCAGCTTTTCTAAAACTTGGCCTCTCTAGGCTATTTGCACCTTCTGTTACTCAGTGATAATAATAACACATGCTAAAGAGTTGTTGTCAAGATTGGATTAGTTCATACCTGGAAAGCACTTGGAATAATGTTTGGTTCATGATCACTTCTTTTTTAATGTACATTTTAATTGAGTTTTTGTGCATTTCATACAACAGATCCTAATTCTATTTATACCCCTCCCACATCCACACCCCCTTAACCCCCAACAGATTTCATGCATTCTGTCATATATGTTAAGGCCTATCTGTTCAAGCATTTGTACACAAAGCCCCTCGGTGCAAGTTCATCCACTCAAGTCTAGTCAGCCTATCTAGAGTCACTCCCTTAAAAAAGGTCAACTCCCTCTCACCCAGCAGTAATCAGTTGCTAATAGTTCCTTGGCTAAAGTTGGGGCCTGCTGTCCATTTCTGCAGGTCTATGCTGGGTATTTTTCTACTTGAGTCAGCATGGGTCTTGTGCATGTTTCCTTATGTTCATGCACCAACCCTGGCTCTTACAATCTTTCCGGTCCCTCTTCTGCAATGGTCCCTGAGCCACGGGTAGGAGAGATTTAATATAGGAGTCCTAGCCAAAGACAGTCGCTCTGCAGTCTTATTCTCTAAAACTTGGCCAGTTGTGGCCTTCTGTGTATCGCACTCTGTTGCAAGAGTAAACTTCACTGGTGAGAGTATTAGTATTCTCTCTATACCCCGTTTCATTATGTTCCATGAGTCCAAGGTATAGAGGATTTACAGTAAATGTGTCACTTAGGGCTGGGCATCTCTCAGACATATATTCTTTGTGTGTGACCAATTGTGGAACTTTGTAATAGCCTCCATCTATTGCAAAAAGAAGTTTGTTTTTTTTTTCTGATGAGTGGTATATTACTTGACTCTAAATATAAGGATCCATAATTTAGCATACAGTAAGAAATTTCATTTGTCTAGAGATATGACAGAGATAGGATTTTCTATAGGATCTATGACCTGTCCAGCCATTCATGTTTATAGTACTTCTTAATAAACATTTACTGTTATTATAGGTTAGATGGCTTTCTTTACAACTTTAATCTTCTGATAAACAACTATTTATGAAATATCAAAAACTGCAATATTAAAATCATGGCACAAACCCAGCTTGTTGGCACATATCTGTAATCCCAGTATTGGAAATGTAGAGGTAGATATGGAGAGAGGTTGAAGTCAGGTTGTACTGCATAGTGAGAACTTGTCTCAAAACAAAACAAAACAAAAACAAAAAAAGAACACAGGAAAATTCATAGAATGGTTTATTTTTGCCTTGGCACAAAATTATTGAGTCTAGTTGCATATTATATTTTGAGGGGAATTTTTTCTATTTATTTATTTATTTATTTAATTTTATGTGTATGAGTGTATTGCCTGCATGTATGTGAGTGTGCTTTGTTGTACAATGCCACAGAGGACAGAAGAGGGCTTTGGATTCCCCTGGAGCTGGAGTTATAGATGGTTTGTAGCCACCATGTGGGTGCTGGGAATCGAGCCTGGGTCATCTGTAAGAGCAGTCAGTGCTCTTAACCTCTGAGCCATCTCTCCAGCCCTTGAGGGGAATTTTTAAAAAACAGTCAAACAATTATATTAAGATCTCTAGTGTGGGGGTTGGGAATCCAGAAACTCTCCATGGGTCAAATTAACAGTCAAAGTTGAGAACCAAGGAAATGTTGAGTTTCTTCAAAATAGCTGAAGTCTAACCATGTGAATTCTCTGTCACAGGTTTGGCTGGAGGAACCACTCTGTTAAGGTCTGAATGTGAAAATTTCTCATAGGCTAATGTTTTCCAGCCCTTATTTCCTGCTGGGTGGGGACATTTTGTAAACCAGGAAGCCAGTAAGAGATGGAGCTTGGCTGATAGAAATAAGTCACTAGGGGTGGGCCTTTGAAGGTGGTAGCCTGTCCTTTAATTCTGCAACTCTCTGCTTCTTGGTCTGCGATAGTAGGAGGAGCTCTGTCACACCCTCCAGCTATAGTGAAGGCTGCCATACCTTCCACTATGCCTTTCCCACTATGACAGACTGGACTTCTTGAAACTGTGAGCCAAAATAAGTCTTTCCTCCCTCAAGTTGTTCCTGTCAGGTATTTGGTCACAGTGGGAAAAGTAACAAATGCACATACCCAGAGTTGAGAAAATCAAGTGATCTCTGAGAGATCGAGACCAGCTTGCTCTTCATAGTGAGTTCCAGGTCAGCTGGGGCTACAGGGAGACCCTGTCTCAAAAATGCAAAACAAAACTAAAATACGACAAAAGAAAAAGAAGAAACAATTCTATCCTGAAATATAGAACTTTTACATGAAAAATCTCAGCTTCATCAACAGCTCAGTGCACAAAAAGGAATGA